CTGCGCCTCCCGCGCCCCGCCTCGCCTCCGCCTGGCCTCGTCACCGCGGGCCGCCGTCTCCGCCGCACGGGCGCCTGGCGCCGCCGCCCCACCTCAGCTCCGCCGCCCGGCGCCGCCCCCGGCCATCGCCGCCTCGCCACCGGGAGCCTCGTCCCCTGCCGGCGACCTCCTCCCCCTCCGTGCCGGATCCGGCCTCCCCTGCCCTCCGGCGCATCTCTGGCGAGCTCCTCCGGCCACCTCGATCCGTGCGCGCGCTAGATCTGGAAACCCTAAGGTTGACCCCGAAATTTCCCTAAGTCCCTAAATATGTGCATATTTGTAGCTCCTGTTCATCGCATCATAACTCTCTGAATACTGCTCCGTTTCGTGCGCATAATATATCAAAATGTTCATCATGATGTGCTCTTCATTTTGTTCCATTGTGCCATCTTTGTTTGACGTCATCTTGATGCCTGAATCTCTGTTGCAAGAGTGCTATATAATGTTGTCTACTGTCTATTAACATAACATGCTCATTTGTCATTTTTGCCATGTTTAATGTGTGCCTCCTATGAGCAAGAGCTCTACATGTGTTTTACACTACATCATGCCATCTTTAAAGTGGTTCCATCCATGTATTTTTGTGAGTTGTGTAGTGAGTGCATCAAGCTTGTTAAGTAGGGTACTTGCTGTTGCTGTTTTGCTAGGCTGAATCTGCTATATCATGATGCTATGTAAACCTGGTGCTACCAGTCATTCTATACATAATCTGGAGATGTTCGCTAAGGATGTTTTGTTAAACATGTCATGTCATATCCATCCATGCCCCTGTTTGCATTTATAGCCTGCTGTAGCCTATTGTCTTCTTGCTCCTAAGTTGCTAAATAATGTTGCTGTCAGCCTGTTAACATTAACTTCAATTTGTGCCATGTGTTTTGCTAGTGATCCATGCACCCTATGAACTTGATCTTGCCATGCTTAGCTTCATAAACATGTATTCTTACTGTTGGTTGCCTTATCATGCCATGTATTGCTCTGTGGTGAGTGGTATAAACTCATCAACATGCCTACTTATTGTTGTTCCTGCCATGTATGAATCTGTCATATCATTTGCCATGTTTACATGGATGCCATCATATCTTCTGATCCTTCTTGGCTCATGATCAGTAAGGGACTTTTATTCTATGCAATTATTAGGTTCATGCCATGCCATTGTTTGCCATGATAAGTTCCTGTAGCATGTTGTTTGATAGCTCTAAACATTGCAACCTGATGTTATTTCTGCCAAGTCTGAAACTGTTATTATTTGCAATCTTGCCATGTGTTTTTGAGCATGTTCTAGTGGTTTCTGGAGATAGCTCAGTGTTCGTGTTGTGTAATGCATAACCTCTACATCATGTCTATGCCTTTTGTTTTCATATTGTGGTTCTGTAGCATGTTATGTTGGTGCTTGCAATATGCCTAGTTGCTGTTTTGGACATCTTGTCATTTAAACTTGTTTCATGTGTGTGTGTGGAACCGTTGCTCCGTTTTGAGTGTGCTCTATATGAAACTTGCTTAGATTTGCATGTAGTTTCATATTATCATGTTGCATCCTTGTTTCGAGATGTTTTGTTGATGTTTTGATGCATTTAGCATCAATGTCATGTTTATCTTGTTTTGCTCATATCTTCTAGGCCGTAGCTCCAAATCTAATGAACTTTATATGGAACTTGACTAGAATCTCGTGTAGATCGTCTTGGAGCATCTTAACTTACTGTTTAACAACTTGAACATAATGTTTATTCAGATCTGGACCAATTTCGAAATTTGCATATGAGGACTTACCGGAATTGTTATATGTTGCTTCCGGCCTCATTTAAACTTGCTTTGATGTGTTGCTCTTGTATGCATCATCTCTTGCCATGAGTAGCTTCATGTAGCCTTGTCATGCATCATGCTTGGTTGTGCATTATGTCTTGTATATGTGTGGTGTGTTTACCATGTTGTGTGCTTCTTCTCGATAGTTCTCGTTTCGTTACGAACGTGAGGATTCATTCGTCTACGCTTGGTTCGTCTTCGTGGCTTCATATTTTTCATGGACTCGTTCTTCTTCCTTGCGGGATTTCAAGCAAGATGACCGCTACCCTGGATCATTGCTATGCTAGTTGCTTCGTTCTACCGCTATGCTGCGCCACCTATCACCTGTTTATCAAGCCTCCCAGTTTGCCATGTCAGCCTCTAACCTTTTTCACCCTTCCTAGCAAACCGTTGCTTGGCTATGTTACCGCTTTGCTCAGCCCTCTTATAACGTTGCTAGTTGCAGGTGAAGTTGAAGATTGATCCATGATGGACAGGATTTTGTTGGGATATCACAATATCTCTTATTTAATTAATGCATCCATATACTTGGTAAAGGGTGGAAGACTCGGCCTTATGCCTGGTGCTTTGTTCCACTCTTGCCGCCCTAGTTTCCGTCATACCGGTGTTATGTTCCTGGATTTTGCTTTCCTTACGCGGTTGGGTGATTTATGGGACCCCCTTGACAGTTTGCTTTGAGTAAAACTCCTCCAGCAAGGCCCAACCTTGGTTTTACCATTTGCCTCACCACCACCTACTTTCCCCTTGGGAGTCGCTCTCTCGAGGGTCATCTTTATTTTAGCCCCCGCGGGCCAGTGCTTCTCTAAGTGCTGGTTCGAACCGGGCAGATTGTGGGGCCACCTCGGGGCAACTCGAGGGCTGGTTTTACTCGTAGGCTGACCTATCCGGTGTTGCCCTGAGAATGAGATATGTGCAGCTCCTATCGGGATTGTCGGCACATCAGGTGGCTTTGCTGGTCTTGTTTTACCATTGTCGAAATGTCTTGTAAACCGGGATTCCGAGTCTGATCGGGTCTTCCTGGGAGAAGGTATATCCTTCGTTGATCGCGAGAGCTTATCATGGGCTAAGTTGGGACACCCCTGCAGGTTATAATCTTTCGAGAGCCGTGCCCGCGGTTATGTGGCAGATGGGAATTTGTTAATGTCCGGTTGTAGATAACTTGACACCAGATCCGAATTAAAACTCATCAACCGCGTGTGTAGCCGTGATGGTTTCTTTTTGGCGGAGTCCAGGAAGTTAACACGGTTTTGGGTTATGTTTGACGTAAGTAGGAGTTCAGGATCACTTCTTGATCATTGCTAGCTTCACGACCGTTCCTTTGCTTCTCTTCTCGATCTTATTTGCGTATGTTAGCCACCATATATGCTTAGCCGCTGCTACAACCTCACCATTTTACCCCTTCCTTTCCCATTAAGCTTTGCTAGTCTTGATACCCATGGTAATGGGATTGCTGAGTCCTCGTGGCTCACAGATTACTACAACAACAGTTTTAGGTACAGGTTATGCCATGATCATGACGCGAGAGCGATGTTTGCTTGTTTTGGAGTTCTTCTTCTTCTTCTTCTTCTTCGATCAGGGGATAGGTTCCAGGTCGACAGCCTGGGCTAGCAGGGTGGATGTCGTTTGAGTTTCTGTTTGTGTTTCATCCGTAGTCGGATGGTGCTCTTATGTCGGATGCCTTTTGTATGTATCCCATCTATTATGTAATGTTGATGTAATGATATCCACCTTGCAAAAGCGTTTCAATATGCGGTTCTATTCTTAGTGGCACTTTCGATTCTCTTTAGGATAGTATCGCATATAGGGCGTGACAGTCAACCCTTGTCAGTGGGAGGGCTCTATTTTTAGATGTCTCTTTGAGTTTTGCTAGGATTTGTATCCTGCTCAGAAAAGTGAGACGGCAACAGCTCCCTCAAGATGGAATAAATCTCCTCTCGCCTAGCCCCGTCTTGATGGTGTGTCCAGCATCATCGGTGTACGTGTTGATGTGTGTTTCTGGTGGATCTGTCATTGGTGAATTTGCTCAGACCCGATTATCATTCGCCTATATTCGTGTGTCTTTGGTTTGGATCCTTCTGAACTACGCTACTCTTCATCGACGGCGGTTTCTATTTTGGTGTGCTGGCCTTACGGGCACTTAGCACGACGCCTTCCCGACTATCTAATACAACAAGTTCTGCCGGCCCGATGAGGGAGGGGCGATGATGAAGGCGCGTGTTCTGTTCGTTTTAGTGCTTGTAGTTGTCACTGGATGGTTTAGGATTTGAATGTAATTTTTATTATTTCTGATGGGTTTGCGCATCTAAATGTGATTTTTTTGAGGTAATAAATTGTTTGCCAGGTAGTTGCGATCTAGCTAACGGAGTCCAACTCTAGCATATACGGCCAGGCTGGGCCCATTTAATATTATACCGAGTTGAGCTCCGGCTCTCCTCCATCGGACCGGTTTAAAATTCCTGTCGCTCAGCGTCCCGATCAGCACAAGAAAACAGATCGCTCTTTCTAAAGAAAGAAAACAGATCGCTCGATGTCGACGTCCTCGGCGGCGAATCACTTGTGCCCTCCGGCTGTAGCGGCTGCCTCCGCCACCGTCCCCGACCAGGCATCTCCATGGCCATGGGCGTCCCTCCACGCGGATCTGGTTCGCCTGGTCGGCTGGCGAGTGCTGGCGGGAGATCTGCTCGACTATGTCCGCTTCCGCGCAGTCTGCACACACTGGCGTTTCAGCACCGTCTGTCCCCGTGGCCGTGGCATCGTGGATCCGCGTTTTCACCCAGGCCGATGGATGGTGCTGCCCGAGGGACATGGATTACACCCCGACGACAAGGCCAAGAGACGCCTATTCAGCCTCTCCACCGGAGTATCCGTTTGCCCTCGACTTCCTGAGGATTATTGCATCCTCGACTCGGTCATCCTCGACTCGGTCAACGGGATCCTCCTACTGCAGCGGCGGCAGCAACAACACGATCAAGGTAGCATTCGTCTTTTCAACCCCTTCACCGGCGACATTGGGGAGCTCCCGCCGCTCGGGTCCGTCGTGTCAGACTCGAAACTCCACTTGAGTTTCGATGAGATATCTAGTCATGTGGTACCTGGCGGCGTGGTCACCTCCTTGATCGTGAGCTCAGATGGCGCCGCCGCAGTCATGATTTGGCTTGTAGAATTATCACGCGTCATCTTTGCTACCACCAAGGACAGGCAATGGAGTCAGTCAACCCGAATGTTCATTAGGACCAGGAGGCCGATATCATTCCAAGGAAAATTATACATCTTATGTTATGACCCACCTAGCCATGCACTACAAGTTCTCCAAATGGGCCCACCTGTGTATGAGCATGGGACAACCTTGGGGTTAGGTTCATCTTTCTTGCCGACATCAAAGTTGATTGCCACATGTCCAACGATAAAAATGTCCGACGGTATTGGCCTAGCAGAATGTGACTCCGAGATTTTGGTCATAGCCTACAAAGATTCTACACACACGCATATGGTGGTTTATAGAGTACCTGATCTTATGCTCGGCAAGGTTATCCCGGTGACAGACATCGGAAGCAAATCTGTCTTCTTTGATACCAAAACAAGTATGCAAACTGCAAACAGTGGGGTTATTCCTACAATCGCGAGTGACACCATTGTACTTCGTCGGCATCACGAGAGATGTCACCCTTGGCAGTACCACCTTGATAGCGGCACGTGGTCGCCAACAACACACCCCATGAGCCAGTGTGGCTTTATTTGCCATATATACGACTGTTGTGGTTGTACACTGCGCCCTCGGGCCGGCTGGTGAGCTCTAGTTATGAATTGATACTACTAATGTTGTACATATCTTCTAAATTGGGTGTGCTAACTTGTTTTCCGGTTTATGCATGTACTCAGGACTGTCAGGAGTAGTATGACCAAAGGATCGAAGCAGCTGTAGCTCGAGAGGAGGCTCAACCTGGATTGAAAGTGAGGAAGTGGTCATCACTACTCTTAATACTCTTAATAGTTAATAGTAGTGATGACTTCTCTTTGAAAGCCTTTTCAAAATGAAATTCTATGGCAGCAGCGTTGTTTACCCTATCCGACACTTGCTTTTCTTTTTATCGGCTTCTAGCTACTGGGGATGATTCTTATGGATGCTTGGGGCCAGTTCTTTTGGACAGTGGCTTTTGCATAAGCTGCTATGGAAATAAGCCTCATATAAGCTGCTCTGAAAATAAGTCCATGAGAATAAGCCATCTTTTGTCTGGGCTTATTTGCTATGTTCTAGTGATGGAAAGTCTATAGTACCCCTAAACTGTACATGTATGACCTTTTTAACTTACATTTAGTAATTTATGTTGTGTTTATAGTAGCAGCAACTTGGACAACTTCATTCATATTCTCTTTCATTTTTAGCAAAGGTATTCTTACCGCCACCTTGCAAAACGGCTAGCATGGACCAAATCAAACAACAATCAAACTGCTAGTGCTTGTATAAAAATTTCTGAATGCATTCTGTAGCAACTGCTTTTTTTACAGTAAGTCTTGGACCTGACCAAGAACTAGCCCTTGCAGTAGTTTTCTCTATTTCTGAATGCACATGACCATTACACTCCTGAATCCTGAAGAGATGTCAACAAAAATCAGCTACATCTCTATGTCTAGGTCATCAAGAAAAGTACTGTGCCTTGGTCATCAAGGTCATACATCTGGATTGATTTTGGTTTTACTATACAGTGTTAAGAAAAGTACTCGGCCTTGAAAAGCATCACGTTCTGGCCCCACACAACAAATTTCTTGTTTGTTTCTTTTCTTTAAATCATTCATGCCTAGAAGAGAACTAACTAGATGGTTCATTTGGTTTTGTGTATAATTGGGCAAGGGGTATATGATATACCTTTTCTCCCGTTGCAATGTATAGGCATGTTTGCTAGTAATTTAACATGAAAGAAAAGTAGCGGATCAGTTACAACATATACAAATATAAATGGGATTGACTATATCACATCTAGATGTGATATAATACCTCACATCTAAGTATAACATCAACATTATTTGTGTTCCTTTTTTGCTTGTTTATTTGTTTGTTTGTTGTGAAAAATGTAAGATGCGTGGTATGCATTGTGTGTGCCCATGTTTGCATGTGTGGCACTCGCGTGCGCTGGACTCCTGTGTGTTGCTGTAGGGAGCACAATACTTCTGCTGCTACACGATCGTTACAGTACCACATTGATCATGCAACGCACGTGTGGTGTACTACAAAGCTCAAAGCTCAACAACAGTACGTCGCATCATCTTTTTACTAGTACATCTATTTGCTAAGCGAGCGAGCTAAACTTGATTTAACTGTGACCATGTTTAATTTGTCCTTTTTCACCTTCTGGCACGGTAGCTCATGAGCTACATTTTTTTCTGCTGCCTTTGTTGGGCATTGACTAACACCTCTAAATGTGGATCCATCGCAAAAGTAACTTCTAATTCTTACTGGCCATGTTGAATATTTTTATCCAATTCTAAATATATTTTTAAATCATGATTTTTTTCAAATCCATGAATATTTTTGAATTCGACAACATTTTTGAACTCATGAATATTTTTCAAATTCAAGAACATTGTTGGAATTTTTGAACATCTTTGAATTCGCGTACACTTTTCAAGTTGGTGATTTTTTTAATTCAGGAACATTTTTCAAACTCGGGAATATTGGCAAATTGAACAATTAGAGGACATTTTTTCATGCTACCTTGATGAACATTTTATAAACATATGATGAAAATTTTACAAAAATATATGATGCTTTTTTTAAACGCGGTGAATATTTAAAAGGTCGCACGATGGAGAAAAAATAGAAAAAAATAGACTAAACACTTTCACATGAAAAATATTGATGGACGAGGTGATTTAATTTTTTTTAAATACACGATGCATTTTTTAAACACGATGAACATTTAAAGGTCTCACGGTCGACAAAAAATTAAAAAAAGGAAAACTAGAATGATCAAATTGTATATCGAAGGTGGACATGTAACTAGGCCGGTTGTGTTTCGGGTCAAGTGTAAAAAATGCACATGGGCAAGGGAAAGTTGTGTGTCTCGGTTGGACATGCAACTAGGTCGGTTGAGTTTCGGGTCAACAGTTGACCTGCAACTAGTTCGGTGGGAGCTGCATGTTGAGGGTGGACATGCAACTGACTTGGTTGAGTTTCGGGTCAAGGATGGACATGACATTAGGACAATTACGAGCCCAATTGGAGTCGAGGGTGGACTTGCAACTGGGACAACTACGATTGAGTCCAAAGGGCCGAGAACAATTTATGTGTCGAGGGTGCACGTGCAACTGGATCAAACTGGGTTCATAGCTGAGATAAAAAAGGGACGAGCCTAGTTGCAAGTCGATTGTGGACTTGCAACTGGGATAATAACAAATTACGAGCCTAGTTGTGAGTCGAGGGTTGCAACTGAGACAACTAAGAAACTATGTGAACTCCGTTGCAAATCAATGATGGACTTCCAACTGGGACGAAACAAACTACGGGTCTAGTTGCGAGTCAAGGGCAGACTTGCAACTGGGATAACTACACGAAAACTACGATTCCAGTTGCGAGTCAATGCTGAACTTGTAACTCAAGCTACAAGCCAAGCTGTGAGTCGAGCGTGGACTTTCAACTGGGATGAATAAACAAAACACATGACCAGTTGCGAGTTGAGGGTGGATTTGCAACTGGGATAATTATGAAACTACGAGCTCAATTGCGAGTCAAGATCGACTTGCAACTGCGATGAAACAAACTATGGGCCTAGTTGCGGGTCAACATTGGACTTGCAACTGCGATGAAAAACAAAAACACAGACTCCAGTTGTGGTTCGCGGTTGGGCTTACAACTTGGACAACTACAATCCCAGTTGCATGTCGAGGATTGACTTACAACTGGGACAACTACCAAAGTACAAGCCTAGTTGCGAGTCAAGGGTCAACTTGCAACTGGGATGAAACAAATTACGAGCCAAGTTGCGAGCCAAGGGTGAACCTGCAACTGAGAAGAAACACAAAAACACATGCCGAGTTGCGAGACAAGGGTGGCCTTAGAACTACAATGGACCAAACTACGGGTCTAGTTGCCAGTCGAGAGTGGAATTGCATCTAGGACAACAACAAAACTATGGGCCCGATTGTGAGTCGAGGGTGCACTTGCAACTAGTTTCATAGCTGAGATAAAAAAATGGTTGAGCGTAGTTGCAAGTCGATGGTGGAGTTGCAACTCGAACAATAACAAACTATGAGCCCAGTTGCGAGTTGAGGGTTGCAATTGAGACCACTACGAAATTAGTAGCTCAGTTGCAAGTCAAATGGTGGAATTGCAACTGGGATGAAACAAACTGCAGGTCTAGTTGCGAGTCAAGCAGACTTGCAACTGGGACAACTACACAAAACTACGATACCATTTGCGAGTCAATGGCGAACTTACCACTGGTACAATAACAAACTACAAGCCAAGTTGTAAGTTGATTGTGCATTTACAAGTGGGATAAAAATCATATGACCAGTTGCGAGTTGAGGGTGTACTTGCAACTAGGACAATTATGAAACTACAAGCCTAGGTACGAGTCAAGGGTCGACTTGCAACTGGGATGAAACAAACTATAGGCCTAGTTCCGAGCCAAGGGTGGACTTGCAACTGTGATGAAAACAAAAACACAAGCTCGAGTTGCGATTCGAGGTTGGGCTTGCAACTGGGACAACTACAAGCCCAATTGCATGTCGAGGGTGGACTTGCAACTGGGACAATTACAAAATTACAAGCCCAATTGCGAGTCAAGAGTTGACTTGCAACTGGGATGAAACAATCTACGGGCCTAATTGCGATCCAAGGGTGAACACGCAACTCAGAAGAAAAACAAAAACTCATGCCAAGTTGTGATTCAAGGGTGGGCTTACAATTAGGATGAACGAAACTACATGCCTAGTTGCGAGTCGAGGATGGACTTACAACCGGGACAACAACAAAACTATGTGCCTAGTTGCGAGTCAAGGGTGGACTTCCAACTGGGGCAACTATGAAACTACGAGCCCAATTGCAAGTCAAGGGTTTCAATTGGGATAAAACAAACTACATGCCTAGTTTGTGAGTTAACAAGCGAACTTGCAACTAGGGCAAAGAGTCGAGGACAAGTTGCATGTCGAGGGTGTACCTGCAACTGCATCAAATTGGAATCATAAATAGATAAAAAGGGGGTCGAGCCAAGTTACAAGTCGATGATGGACTTGCAACTGGGACAATAATAATAAACTAAGAGCCCAGTTGCATGTCAAGAATGGATTTGCAACTGGGACAACTACAAGCGCATTTGTGAGTTGAGAGTGAACTCTACAAATTCTTCATCGGGAAATAAAAAATGCACAACGAAAATGAACC